CACGTACTGTTGAAGCCTGGCTTGGAGAATTTTGAGCAATACTTTACCAGCATGTGACATAAGTGCAATTGTGCAGTTGTTTCAGGATTCTTTGGCATTGCCTTTCTTCGAGAGCCAAATGAATATTGACCTTTTCCTGTGGCCACTGCTGAGTTTTCCATATTTGCTGGCATATCAAGTGCAGCACTATCACAGCATCATCTGTTAGGGTTTGGAATAGCTCACCTGGAATTTCATAACCTCCACTAACTTTGTTCATAGTGATGCTTCCTAAGGCCTACTTGACTTCACATTCCAGGATGTCTGGCTCTAGGTGAGTGATCACACCATCATGGTTATCTGGGTCATGAAGATCTTTTTTGTATAGTTCTGTGTATTCTTGCCACCTCTTCTTAATATCTTCTGCTTCTGTTAGCTCCATACCATTTCTTTCCTTTTTTGTGCCCATCATGGCATGAAACGTTCCCTTTGTATTCCCATTCTATTGTTTTCCTGTATTTCTTTCCACTGATCACTGAGGAAGGCTTTCTTGTCTCTCCTTGCTATTCTGTGGAACTCTGCATTCAAATGGGTATATCTTTCCTTTTCTCCTTTGCCTTTCGCTTATCTTCTTTTCACAGCTATTTGTAAGGCCTCCTCAGAAAACCATTTGACTTTTTGTATTTCTTTTCTTTTGGGATGGTTTTGATCCCTGCCTCCTGTACAATGTCACGAACCTCTCTGTCCATAGTTCTTCAGGCACTCTGTCTATCAGATCTAATCCCTTGAATCTATTTGTCACTTCCACTGTATAGTCATCAGGGATTTGATTTAGGTCACACCTGAATGGTCTAGTGGTTTTCCCTACTTTCTTCACTTTAAGTCTGAATTTGGCAATAAGGAGTTCATGGTCTGTGCCACAGACAGCTCCCGGTCTTGTTTTTACTGACTGTATAGAGCTTCTCCATCTTTGGCTGCAAAGAATATAATCAATCTGATTTCAGTATTGACCATCTGGTGATGTCCATCTGTCATCTTCTCTTGTGTTGTTGGAAGAGGGTGTTTGCTATGACCAGTGCATTCTCTTGGCATATATACTTAACTATATATATATATATATATACATTATGTATAACCTAATATAGCTTAGCCAGTCACAAAGGATGCATAAAAATGGGAAAGAGGTGAAACTCCTTTCTGTTTTTTCTAACAGATAAACAGAATCAGAGCATGAGCAATTAATAATTCTTAACTCAGAAGAAGAGGTCAAAGAGTGGGATGCTCTCCTGGGCAGTAAAATATCAACTCTTAATCGAAGACCATAAATGCCACTATGTTGGAGAGGATATTTGTTCTGTAGGGAGTGTATGTTATCATTGCTATTGTCGAGTCTATTTGTATTATTGCAACTATTCCTGTCACTTATTGACACGAGGTTTTTCAGCAAATTCCCTTATAAATATATGTTCAGATTAAGTAACAGTCTAGGATTATGAGTGGGGCTTGAAACAGTTTGAGCAAACCAATCTTTCTAAATATATGTTTTTGGCTCTGATAACAGATTAATCTGGTGAGATCCCAGAGTTCCTAGGTTCTCTTTGTTTCTCTTTACTTAATGTGAATATGTCTGAATAACAGGTCTGATACAACTCACCATAACACTCAGAGTTGACATTTGCAAATAAAAATTACTTTTCAAGTTAAATTCAATGAAGAGATAATGATAAGAATATGACAAATATTGCTGGTAAATTTTAGAAAATAGTAGCAAAAATAGTAGCTTTTTATATCTGCAAATCATTTAAAGAGTAACAACTTCATGATTAAGTTCTTAAGTCAGAAACTATCTCCAGTCCTTATAAAAGTTTGTTTATTAATTTACAATAGAAATGTCTTTGAAAGTTAATCAGAGGTAGTCAAAACCAAGACTTTACAATGGATTTAAAACCTACCACTGTGCATGGACTTTAAACTTTTATAGAGTTATTTCCTTCAATTTTTCTACTGTATCTGTTAAAATTTCATCCCATGAAAATCCTCTAAAACGTGACTGCATTATTCTGCTGGAAGTGTGGCAACTCAAGTAGCAGTTCTGATATTCAAACTGCTGTTGGTGTTTTATCTTCTTTGTATTGCTTACCCCAAACAGGCCTGATAGCCACTTGCCTGGAGCTAGGTCAGGGCAGAGAAGCCTTCTGAGCTGACTGCAGAGGATGCTGCAAGCCCGATTGCAACCTTTCTTCTTAGCAGTAAGTGGGCTTCCTCTGTGCCACTTCCACACTTTTAAATATTTCAGTCAGTAGGATCCCACAGGAGCACAAAAATGTCTGACTCTTGCTTATTCTTTCCTCTCACATCTTTTCCTCCTCAGAGCTAGGGATGGGAGGTTGAGGGGGTGGGGGTTAGGTTTTGATACTGAGAAAGGCAAGTAAGGATTTTAAAACTTGGCATTTTTCAATGAACAGTCAGATATTGTTTTCTGAAAGTTTCCTCTTAGCACTGTTCATGATAATGTGAATGCTAATAATAAAAATAAAAACTATTAATTGGTCGGTGCTACAGCCAGGAACTCTTAGACTTTCAAATTTAATTAACTTAAAAATTAATTAACAACAGAAAAAACTGGGAAATTGACATAGAAAACTTTTCATTTTCCTATGAAAGGTAATTTGAATAATTACTATCTTTTATCACTCTGTATTAAGAAAAGACAATTTGATACCAATATACTAGAAAGAATCCCTGAATAAGATGTGTTTTCCTGTTAAATCAAATACATTTGACTAAATAAAATGCTTACTACTTTTTGTTTTTGTTTTTAATTTTGCCAGCCTAATAATACCATCACCCACTGACACCAACTGATACACAGCCAAGATATAAGCATATGCACAATGAGCAGAGTGTAGTTAAATTTTCCGTTAATCTTTTTGTATTATATATTGTATCAGTGCTTTAGGACCTAGAAAGAATGTGACTAGGTGGTTGCTTCTCAGAAACAGAATTTCAGTGATCTTCCAGGACTAACTGCCTTAAGGCCCTCATCTTATAGGTAAAAAAAAAAAAACTGAGGAACAGCAAGAACCAATTTCTAAATACCACACAACTTTCCTCAATGAAAGGTGTCAGCCTCCAGCTGTATATAGCAATATGGTCACCTTTCAAATTTATAGTCAACATTTGAGTTTTTAGTAAGTATCAGACACATTCACATGTTACCTCAGTTAAGTTTATAGTTCAGTTAATCTTTTGTTGAACTTAGTAATTCCGTTATACAGATAAGGAAAACTAAATCAATACATAACTGACCCAAATTCATACTGCTATGAAGTATCAGAGTCTCCATTTGCTGAGATCTCCAAGTTAAATGTTTTTTATGCTTCACTGTATACTTAGAGAGTATTTATTGTGTGGATCTACGGGGTCAGCCCTCTGATTAGTACTATAGAATTTGCCAGCTAGGTTGAGAATCTTAGGGCTGTCATGAGAAGAAAAAAGGGGTCCCTTGAGTTTCAGTTGCCCTCTTCTATTTACTACAAGAAGAGAGAATGAAAAATCTATTTTAGTAAGAGTAATCCAATGTTCAACATTCAGAAAACTAAGATCATGGCATCTGGTTCCATCACTTCATGGCAAATAGATGGGGAGACAGTGGAAACAGTGGCTGACTTTATTTTGGGGGGCTCCAAAATCACTGCTGATGGTGACTGCAGCTATGAAATTAAAAGACGCTTACTCCTTGGAAGGAAAGTTATGACCAAACTAGACAGCATATTAAAAAGCAGAGACATTACTTTGCCAACAAAGGTCCATCTAGTCAAGGCTATGGTTTTTTATGGTCTTGTATGGATGTGAGATTTGGACTGTAAAGAAAGCTGAGCACCGAAGAATTGATGCTTTTGAACTGTGGTGTTGGAGAAGACTCTCGAGAGTCCCTTGGACTGCAGGAGATCCAACCAGTCCATCCTAAAGGAGATCAGTCCTGGGTGTTCATTGGAAGGACTGATGCTGAAGCTGAAACTCCAATACTTTGGCCACCTCATGCGAAGAGTTGACTCATTTGAAAAGACCCTGATGCTGGGAAAGATTGAAGGCAGGAGGAGAAGCGGATGACAGAAGATGAGATGGTTTGATGACATCACCGATGCTATAGACATGAGTTTGAGTAAGCTCCAGGAGTTTGAGATCAATAGGGAAGACTGGCCTGCTGCAGTACATGAGGTTGCAAATAGTTGGTCAAGACTGAGTGACTGAACTGAACTGAACTCAACTTTGAATTAATTTTTGAGTACACATTACAGTTCTGGCCTATTTCACCATTGTAAAACTTTTTAATTCATTATACTCCACAATCTTTGTGTTTTGATATATATTGCTTAACAAACAGTTTAAGTAATATTTGGTTTCCTATTTTCTTACACATACACATCTGTTAAGCAAAGATTCTGGTCATGATGAAGTAACAAGGATATAACCTTACTGAACTGATATAATCCTAGCCAACAGTCAAGAAACTCATCTTTTAAAACAGTCTGTGTAGTCTTATCATTGTAGAGGGATAATTTTCTTTGACATATTAGAATACTGACTATAAAACACATGAATCTCCAATATTATCATCACATCCCTAATGGTCCAGCAATATCATCTTTAAAATCACTGGTAGAACACTCACTGTACACAGACTTGGTATGAAGTTATCAAAGTATGAAACTAAATAATCCAAAGACTCTGCCTTGATATTCCCAGGGTCTACTTTCTAACATGGATACCCTTGGCTTTTGCATCCACAACACCTGCCTGGGTTGCTCACTTCCCCCACTTTTACTCTATTTCTTAACCAACTAGAGCTTCCCTCAGGACAGAACACTTAACACTTTATAATTTTTTATCTTAAGCACTGTGCATTCAGGTACTTTTTGCATAGGAGATAGTATAGTAGCTGCTCCCAGGGAGAAACTAAACAAGTAGGTAGCAGAAAGTGAGGTTAAAATGACTCACTTGAAGTGGACACTTCTCTGGATTTGAATCCCAGCTCTTCTATTTTTGAGCTAACAGACTTAGGGCAAGTCTCTAACCTTTAGGCCTCCCTTTCCTTATCTGAAAAACAAAAATAGAGTAATTACCTCTTATTTTTTATGAGGATTAAATGATATAATGTATGTAAAGCATTTTTCACAATATTAGCACATAGGAAGTGCTTAAAATTTTCATTTATTATTATTACTACTATTACTAAAGTGGAAGAGAAGAGAAATAAAAATATTAGGTTACTGAGACTTTTTAAAAAGAGATGTATTCTTATGGATCTTTAGCCAGAGAAGTATCAATTTTGAGGAAATCATCATTTTGAGAGTTAAACAAAGGACTGGTAAAGGAAAATGGAAAAGAGGAGGAAAGACAAAAAGAGCAAGAAATGTGAAGTAACGGGGCAGAACAGCTTAAACCATGAACCATGGAATTTAATGTTTCTCTTTTCCAGGTAATCTTGGGTGCCTATGTCTATAAGTTTACCAATAATAATATGTTTAAATTGGAATAAAATAAAATAATACACTTAAAATGGAATAAAAATAGATATTGCTTGTTTTAGAGAAAAGAAAGTGCTCAGAATTTATAGATTATGTAGAGAGATTTTCCTTGTACTAGTTCAAATGAAAATAAGATTAATAATGAATCTAAATCAGGCCAAGCCTTCCAATTTTTGACTCCTGGAATTTATATCAATAAGCTCTTCCAGCATTAGATTTGCAAGAAATCAAAATTCATTCTTTAATCTTAGAATCTGAAAACTGTATTAGTTTCCTATTTCTGCTATAACAAATTATTGCAAACCTAATTACTTCGAACAACATGATTTCATTATGTTTCAGCTTCGGAGGTCAGAGGTCTGAAAAGGGTCTCACTGTGTTAAAATCAAGGTATGGCAGGGCCCAGAGACCTCTGCCTGTCTCAGCTTCTAGACTCTATGCATTCCTTGGATGATGGCCCCCTTTCATCTTCAAAACTAGTAGCGGCAGTCAAGTCTTTCTCACAGTGATTCCTCTGACACTTTTCTGCCTCTCTCTTCAGTATCTCTGCATTTTCTTGTGATTAGATTACATTGGACCCACCGGTTAATCAAGGATAACCTTTCCGTAGATTAAGGTCATCTGATAAGCAAACATAATCCATCTGCAACCTTAATTCCTTTATGCCATGTAAGGTAACATATTCAAAGGTTTCAGGGATTGGATATGGTAATTTTTGAAGTGTCCTATTCTGCCAATTAAAAAAGGCTGAGTGGTGAAGAATTGGTGCTTTTGAACTGTGATGTTGGAAAAGACTCTTGAGAATTCCTTGGAACTGTAGTCAATCCTAAAGGAATCAGTCCTAAATATTCCTTTTAAGGACTAATGCTGAAGCTGAAGCTCCAGTACTTTGGCCACCTGATGTGAAGAACTGACTCATTGGAAAAGACTCTGATACTGGGAAAGATTGAAGGCAGGAGGAGTAGGGGGCAACAGAGGATGAAATGATTTGATGGCATGATCGACTCAATGGACAAGAGTTTGAGCAAGCTCCAGGAGATGGTTAAGGACAGGGAAGCCTGGTGTGCTGCAGTCCATGATGTCGCAAAGAGTCAGACACAACTGAGAGACTAAACAACAGCAGATTCTGCTGACCGTTAAGTGTGTACTGACTGCATTCTGCTTTAGCTTTTCATTCTAACAGAAAGTAAATAGAATAGATCTGAATTTTAATATATATGGGCAATTAATGCCATTAATTGAGGTTATTTCTGAAGTCCAGTTAGAAACAAATTTTTCTCATTTACTAACAATTTGGGAAAAAAGATTAACCTTTTTGTGCAAACAACTCATTTTAAATGAGAATTATAATATCTACCTCATATTGTTGCTATGAGAATTAAATGAATTAATTAAAGGATTTAGGATAACAGAATCAGCAGTCCATAAATTTAGTTGTTGCTATTATTATTAGCCAGTTTTATGATCTATAGACTCTCTTAAACATATATGTAGTTTTATACATTCATCAGTCACTATCAATTGGTCCACGAACTTAGTTTGACCATTGATCCACCAGAATTTATTAAACATCTTTTGCAAAATGAACTGCATACTATGCATAAGAATAAGAAAAATACCTCACAATTATATAGCATTTACATTTTCACCTTTTTATTTTATCTGATCCTACTTAGGCTCCTACCTTTAGGAAGTTCTAGTTGCCTTGAGAAAACAAGAGATTACATACAAATTTAGCGGAACATCCCAGACATAGTACTGAAGTTTTGCAATGCTATGAATAGGCATTTGCTCAGGCTGAGAGTCATTAAGAGTAAGTCTATGGATTCATGAGCACCACACTGGGGAATGATAGTGAACACCATCTCAGTCGAGGTTGGGCTCTTCTCTCAAATAGGGCTGTGAAGACTATACCCATTAGATTAATGAGGTCCTAACATTTCAAAAGAAAAAAAAAATCAAAAAAGTAGGCAAAAAGGAAAACAACCTACGGTGTGATGGCTGTAATAACCCCATGGGTTCCTCCACGAAACAGTTAAATCTACACCATGCATTTCCAGGTTCATGCTTCTTCCAAACAAGGAAAGGCAGAAAACCCAACACAAAATAATTTACACAAGATTTCTTAGGTGGTTACCTGAGAAAATTGCACAGGGCAAGCATTGGGTTTCCTTCCCCAGAGTTGGTATTTTGATATACCCATTTGCTGTTTTGTATATTGATCACTGATTCTGACAGTCACTTCATCCTTTAGAGGATAGAGTAGGGGGAGTTTGAGTAGCATTCCTCAAGATAAAGAGGAGACTAATAAAAAATACGTGCAATGGGAAACCCCCCAAAGAAACAGTAGATGAGGGCACAAGATGAGAATTTCGGCCTGACTGCTTCATTCTTTCCACTCATCTCTTGAGTCTGGCTGCCCGGCTGAGCTCTGCTCCCAGGTGGATTTCTGGGAAGAGAAAGCCACCATTTGCTCACTTTACCCTGGGGCCACCCAGCTGCCAAGTGTCAGCTGAACAGAGGTGCATCAGAGGCCTGCAGTTAAAAGGCAGCAGGATGGCCAATTGCCATGAATTTCTGCAGGAAGTCTGGCAACTTGGCATCCCGCTGCTCTCCCCCTCCCCCAGGTTAATTGCTGAGAACCTCCAACATGAAAACTGCTTAGCCTACCAACTTCAGCTGCTGCCCTCCTTTCCCTATGCCACTTCAATTCCTACCTCCTTACACTCTGGAAGTAAAATGAAGTCACTCATACACCTGGCTCTACTTGTGAACCCACCTAAGCTCTAACATAACTGTTTCTTTTCCCTCTTACACACCCCCATGGGTAAAGGCAGAATTGCCACATCCCCCTTGGACCTGATTGCTAGGCAACACTCAGCCATGTGAATTTGTCACTTCTGTTTGGCGCAAATTTCAATTTCACCTCCAACTGTAACACTGCTCGATATATTTTAGATGCCACTGTGGTTGGACGGCATCCCAGGAAAGATGTGAAGTGCTACTGCCAGGAATGAATGATTGGCATTGGGTAAAGCAATTCTCTGAACTCAGCCTTGGCATACCATTAATTGTTAAGTCTGTTCAGCTACCACCAACCTCTTGTCAGAATCGTGTCTATTGTAAGCCTTTGCGACAAGAGTCCAAATGGTAGAGCTCTCTCCCTCTGTAAGATATGAAGAATTATGTCGATAATGAAGCAGTGGATTTCTCAGCTCACAACATATTACTTCTTCCTACTTTCATCTATTGGCTGCACTTTCATGTGCAAAGAAAAAATAGTTCCACGTTTGAATATTACTGAGCTAGGAGCTGCCAATTCAGGTTCTAGCCCTGAATAAAAGATTTACCTTCCCTCTTCTCTTTATCACAGTCTGCTTTCTTTCATTCATGGTAACAATTAAATGCTGCTACAGGGAAACAAGTTATTAATGGGAAAAGATAAAATTAATGCTAAACATACTCTGGTGACAATAAATATGTAATATTTGACATGTAAAATTTACATACTGACATTAAATCAGAAAACATGCAACATGAAAACAATTATGATTTTTGAATAAACACCTACCATCACTGACAAGATATAATGCTATAATTCCCAAAGGCTCTGTCCAATGCAGTCTGCCCAATGTGCTTATATATATATGTATATATATACTGAATACATATATGTATATACATATACATATTATATATATACTGAATATTATTTGTCCTTAATGACACATTCAATTGCTTAGCCACCTACATCCTTAAATACTACCCAATTGCTCTATTGACTCTAAGATGCTACAGTGTGGAAAGCTTTCATTTCTGTGCACTGTGCTAAATAAAGGTAAAAATAGTCAATCTGTTTTGATTCCCCTTCTACTGCCTCCAGCCACCAAATTTTCAATTGATTTTTTTTTTTTCCTCTCAAAACAAAACATCCTCAGAAAGCTTGGAAATATTTCCCTTGAATGGATCTAATTAAATAGAAGGAGTCAGTCAGTTATGAGTAAGAAGAGTGTTTCAGACTTTAAGTGTAGGCCCTGATTCATCGGAAACAAAAGGAGTTTTTTGTAACAGTGTGAATGAAACTTGAAGTGTGCCTGTGCTTTTAAGAAAGGCCAAGGGTGCAGTTCTATTTTCTTAGCTCTGCTTTCATATTTATGTGTCTCATTTCCAGCTCATTGCTGATGCCTCAGTTGCGCTATCCATCACCACTTTTATCCTCCTTGTTCCTCAAAAAGAACATAAAATCCTTTTTTATGTGGTGGTAATATTATTGCAAATAAAAGCAAATACCAAAATCTTTATTAGTCTGCCAAAATAATAAACTATTTAATAAAAGCATGCTGTAAAAATAAGGTCATTTGCATCACTCAAGTTACTTGCAGGAAATACAGAGAATTATTGGTCAAAAAAATACAAACTGACAGCAATTACTTCTGTTGTTCATCTAACCACACTATGCAATAGGGTTAAATTTTTGTTGATATTTTGCACATTTTCTGGGTTTAAATGCTTTTAATATTACTTAAAACTGGTTGCACATTGGAAAATTTTTAAAAAATCTAATTCTCA